TGTTCTCTCTTAACACTGGGCCACCTCTCCAGTCCCCAGGAGCTATCTCAAATGTGCACTGTTAAGATGTGTACACTTGGTAATCCAGGCCACAGTGCAAAGTAGCCAGTTATTCCCACAGACAGGAACAAGTGTAAAAAGACGGAAGACGCCAGTGTCATAACTTTATGTATGATCAAAATTTTGTTCTTGGGATATTACATACATACATACACACACACACAATTTTAAAAAACAAACAAACCAAAACCAATTCTAGGGGCCAGAGAGGTCACTCAGTGGTCAAGAGCATGTGTTGCTCTTGCAGAGGACCTGGGTTCAATTCCCAGAATGCACAGAGTGGTTCACAGTCATGGATAACTTCAGTTTCAGGGGATCCAATGACCTCTTCAGGGGATCCAAGATCCTCTGACATCTGAGGGCACCAAACACAAACTGTTGCACATACATACATGCAGGCAAAACATTCACACATAAAATAAAATGAATACATCTAATTTAAAACAATTTTCTAGGTTGCACAGGCATGCAGATCTGAGTTTAAATCCAAACAATATAAACCCAGGCCAGTTACGCAAGGTCTGTTTTCACTGTGCTGTTACGAGAAGCCTCCAGAAACCTGGTGCAGGGAGAACCTCGTGGATGCAGGTGTGAACACCAAAGGGTCCATTTCAAACAAGGTGGAAGGTGAGGACCACACCTTGATGTCTGAGCGCCACATGTGCACTATGGCATGGGTGTGTCCACACTCTCACATGTTCATACACACAAAATAAATAAAATGGGGTTAGGAATTTAGTCCTGTGTTAAAGCATTTGTCTAGCAAGTGCACGGCCCTGGCTTCAGTTCACAATTCCAGAGGGAGAATGAGAAAAAAAGAAAAATAGATTAAGATGTAATGAAAACATTTAAAGACCAAGAAAACAATTTTTGTTGTTTTTTGAGACCGAGCTGTGGTGATATTTTGTGTATGCTCTAACAAATAAAGCTTGCCTGAAGATCAGAGGGTAAAGTCAGCCACTAGTTAGCCATAGAGGCCAGGCAGTGGGGGCACACCTTTAATCCCAGCACTTGGGATCTCACGCCTTTGTTTCCAGTACTTGGGAGGCAAACACGCCTTTAATCCCAGCACTAGGGAGGTTGAGACAGGAAGTGGTATGGCTGGGCAGAGAAACAGAATGTAAGACGGGAGGAAACAGGAGCTCAGTCTTTTCGGCTGTGGAGTTGGTGAGGTGAGAGGTGGCTGTGGCTTGTTCCTTTGTCTTTCTGATCTTTCAGCATTTACCCCGATATCTGGCTCCGGATTTTTATTAAGACCAATTAGGAGTCACGCTACACAGAGTTTCTTTGTAGACCAGGCTGGCCTTGAACTCACAGAGATCCAGCTGCCTCTGCCTCCTGAGTGCTGGGATTAAAGGCGTGCACCACCACCGAACAACTGCACAAACAATTAGAAAACCAACCAACCGGGGCTGGAGAGATGGCTCAGCGGTTAAGAGCACTGCCTGCTCTTCCAGAGGTCCTGAGTTCAATTCCCAGCAACCACATGGTGGCTCACAACCATCTGCAATGAGATTTGGCAGGCAGACAGAACACTGTATACATAATAAATAAATAAATCTTAAAGAAAAAAAAAAACAGCTAAGAGGTAAACTATTAAAAAAAAAAGAAAAAACCAACCAACCAACTAAACAAACAAACAAAAAAAGCAAGTGGAGTCTATAAAATCTTAACTTGAGGGGCTGGAGAGATGGCTCAGAGGTTAAGAGCACTGCTTGCTCTTCCAAAGGTCCTGAGTTCAATTCCCAGCAACCACATGGTGGCTCACAACCATCTGTAATGAGATCTGGTACCTGTGGGGATATGTGCAGACAGAACATTGTATACATAATAAATAAATAAATCTTTAAAAAAAAAAAAAAATCTTAACTTGAAAATGTGCCCTGTAGCAGGGTGGTGGTGGCACACGCCTTTAATCCCAGCACTCGGGAGGCAGAGGCAGGTAGATCTCTGAGTCTGAGCCTGATCTATGACGTTAGTTCCAGAACAGCCAGGGCCATACAGTGCAACTGTTTTGAGAATTCAAAACCAACCAACCGAACACACAAAAGCCCCCCTTCCTTTTCTGGAACCATGCCCCTCCCCCCTACTTTAAGCAAACACATCAGACAGTTCAGAGGGCTGTGACTTCCCCAGCTACAAGGGCACAACCTGAGTGTAATCCTTACAAGTGCAATTCAGCATCCTTTGCTGAGGCAAAAATGCTATGAACTCTTGGGTTGTTTCCAGGAATCCTTGAGTTCAGGACTTAGGGCAGAAGAAAAGGTAATGCAGCTGTAACAGAAAAATAGAAAGAGTTGGATAGAGTAAGTGACGAGATATAGAAATAAAACCAAGACGTGGAAAAGGGCAAGGGGACCACAGAGTCATCAGTCAGAAAGAAAGCAGGGTGGAGGAGGGGCCGAGAGAGAGAGGAAAATAAACAGTACACCACGGGGCAAAGCCACAGACCCTGTGTGTGTGTGTGTGTGTGTGTGTGTGTGTGTGTGTGTG